TATGTGCTAGTCATTCCCGATTCTAGGAGGTGGTGTTCATCTCTGTTTCAAAAGCCGAAGAGCCAGCGCTGTCCGAAGACGTCTCCATTGTCATGTGACCTGCATGACTAAACGCCAAAGGTGCCCAGAACGCTGTTACCTTCCCACCAAAATGGTCCCTATTTTTCTACTTGCATTTTTACATGCTTTCAAAGTGCTAGGTTGGCAGAAGCTGGGACAAGCTCCCTCCATTACGCAGCACTAGGGATTCGAACCACTGAACTGCTGACCTTTCTGATCAACAAGCTCAGCGTCTTAGCCACTGAGCCACTGCCCCCCTTTGTGCAACTGGTTTAGTGAATGCTAAAGGTAACCTTCCAAAGCCTTAGATGCAAACTTCAGACATCTGAGCTATCGTACCTTGTACGTTCAACCATGTTGAAAAAACAACAACACAGATTGTGATTTCTTAATCCAGCAATACCATTGAGTCTAGATTACCTTAACAGAAATACAGCATGTAATCTAGTTTATTTGTTTTAATTTGCAATATTTATTAAAACAACCCTGGTCTTAACCACACTGGATCACACACACAACCATTAAAACCAAACCAAATACATATAAATAGTAAAATTCATAGTCAATAAGAGATGCAAGAAAAATAATGTACATGGAAGACACAATCTCCATGCCATAATCATCTGGAACCAAAACCCAATTGAAAAAAGGATGGTTCTTTATAAATTCAAGAACGGAAGATGCCTTCTGAGACTCCATGTGTAATATATTCCATGATATAAAGGCTGCCAAAAGAAGGCCTGTCCTGTCACAAAATTAGCTAGGGAATGATAAACCGCACCTGAAATGGTGCCTCTTAATCACTAATTTAGAAATTCATGATTCGGGGTTGAAATTTTGCCACCGTGTCTCTACAATGTAGGATGTCTCTTCCTTGATGTTTCTAATTGTTGTACAGTTTCTGATGTATAAAAATAGAAAACGTGTCCTGCTGGGCAGATCAAATATCCACCTATCTTTATTCAGCATCCTGTTTTTCACAGCTGGCCAGTGCAGATGTTTCCAGGAAGCCCACAAGGGGAGCCCGATGAAGACATTCATTGAACCTTGAATTTGTTCCCCCCCCCCCTCAACCAATTTTCAGTGGCTTCCTACATTCAGAACATAAAACTACTGTGGCTAAGAGACGTTGGTTATTTTCGTTTTGTTTCTGTCTTAATAAAAATAGTGTGGATAAGAAAAAAAAGATAAGGAAATTAAAACGATGTACTTGGAAATATAGACCTACTGTTAGATAGATCTAGATCTACCTATAGAAACTACTGATAGATAGGACAGGTTCTAGGCCTCTCATACTTTTCTGTGAGTGATCCATCACTGGAGGTTTTCAAGAAGAGACTTGACAGCTATTTGTCCAGAATGGTATAGGGCCGTGATGGCAAACCTATGGCACACATGCCCCAGGTGGCACACAGCACCCTCTCTGTAGGCATGCGTGCCGTCACCAGCTGCTCTTCTGGTTTCCGGTGCGCACATGTACGGCGGCTAGCTGGTCTTCGCTGGCCACAGAAAATGGCCCAAATATGGCTTTGGGGGGGCTGTTTTCCGGGCCATTTTCAGGCCATTTTTAAAGCTGTTTCGGGGCCATTTTCAGGCTGCTTTTCAGGGTATTTTCAGACTGATTTTTGGGTTGTTTTCTGGACATTTTAAGGCTGTTTTGGGGGGCATTTCAGGGCATTTTCCAGCCTGAAAAATGGCCAGAAAGCAGGCATGAGCACAGTGACCAGCTGGTCTTCAGGTTTCCGGAGCTCCAGCGTGCGCATCTGCCCATGCATGCATACACATTCCGGTTTGGGCACTTGGTGCCCCATGGCATTCCAGAGGTTTTCTGGAAGTCAAATCTTCTGATCTGTTGTTCTGGGGGGAAAGGGGGGAAGGGACTATTTTAGGTCTGGACCAAGATTACAAGAATATACACTCTTCTTGCAGAACATGAGAAATTGCAAAGGCAAACCTTTGTAATTTCCCATAATATCCTAGAGTAGCAGCATGTTGGGATTTTAAAATGACAGAATGGCAACTTAAACTGCCAAGTTCTCTCAATATCAATTCTGCACTGTTATTTTTAAGGCACTGGTTTAATACATTATTTGATTAATATATATTTTAGTTATTTAATACATTTTATTTGCTCGAGTCAGTAAAGAACTTATCATCTGCTGTGAACAGTTACAGACTCTTCTCTCTCTGCTGTGAATTATTTACACTTTGCTGCTTTTAATCCCCCCCCTTGCAGTCTATTTGACCCTCCCTTTTTTGCCTGCTATGTTATAAATGAAATCGTGTTCCAGTGACCTTCATTGCATGTTGCTATGGAGCTGGGTTTTGTTTTGAATAAAAATTTAAAAATAGAATATGTAATTTAATCATAATATTTCCAATTTATTTCTTCAAGTTTTATTATCATCACTCAGGAGGTGACCCTGGGTCTCTATACAGAGAGCTGAAAGTCACACAATGCAAGTCAGAAAATGATGATTATGATGAAAAATCAGCTGTAAAATATGTAAATTATCCATTAGTAAAGCATTGTATTGTCTGCAGATATGGGTCTGAAATTATATAGAACATGTTAATTCTCTTGTCCACAAAAAAAGAGGTTTTCACTGTCAACTTGCTAGTAACATTCTCTTCATTACCTCATAAAATTATTCATATGATTCTTTTTTTTTTAGGAACCAAGGAATTCAAAATTAATTAGTACAGAATTGCCCTGGTTTGCTTATTGCGGTAAGCTACTTTTTAACTAAGATTGAGGTCACTATCCTGATTCATCAATAACATTAAGCTACTTTGGCAAGCTGCATGAATATCAAAAACGAATAATACAAAGAATACTATAGAAACAATGAATGGCTAGATTTACATACCACTCCATGTGAGTAGGTTTTGAATCACAGCTTGTAAAACGAACCTTAGTAGCCAAGTTAGCACATAAGGCTAAACACTGGCCTCGTATTCCTTATTAAACAAGCCAAAAGGTAGCTTAATTACAATGCTATATTTTTAAGAGACTGGAAAAAGACAGAAGTCAGTTGGATTTATCTTTGAAAGTCATTGTAACACTAAATAACACTAATATAAACCCTAAGAAAATAGAAATATTAAAGGGAAAATATATATATAACAAAGACAGGGGAACGACAGTAGTATCAGCTGAACTTTAAGGACTTGGGAAATAGTGATACTGAATATAATCAACTCAACATTCTTACAGCATTAAATTAAATGAAAACCCTAGGCTGTTGTTTATTACTACTGTTTGGAGACAGTAGTTCAGGGTGTTGTTTATTTCATGCTCATCTTATGCTAACCTTTTGGGCTCAGGTAGAAGAATATGTGCAGGACTCCAGTCTCGTGGACTCAGTGGTATTTCCTTCATGATGTTGTCATGACAACTACATCTCTTAAACCATCGCAATGTACAGCATGCTCCTTTAGCAAGCAAGGAAAACACAGACATTGGATGCCCACCAATCTATGATACCGGGGAAGAAGGCATGCAGTGGATTTGATTACTATTTTAGTGGTTTTGCACAATGACTCTGAACTTGGTAGAGAGGTACTTAAAGACTGAGTCAAACTACATTTTTAAGCAAGTTTATGTCAAATACTGGAGACTTTTATTCCCATATGCAACAGAGACTTCCCTAACAAGCTGTAAGAAGGGGAAATACTCTGTGATTATTAT